TTCATTGCATAATCTTAAACATGTAACTATCTTTTAACTTAATTCTCTCGCTTTTTCAAATCCAGTACTATATAAATATATTTCAGCTATCATAGCATAATCTGGAACTACCATAGCACATGGTCTAAATAATATCTATAAATTATCTGGTAATTCAGATCTACCTGCATAACCAGGATTCATTGTTATATTTATTGATACTGTTAAACATAAATTTATCTATACTCCTTCAAAATTAAATTGTTTTCTCTTCTCTTTTACTGCTTAAAATATTGTATATATTTATTAAGCTACCACTGATAATACTTCAGGATCTAATCTATTGAATTCATCAAAACAACACCATGATCCTGATGATGCTAAACCTTTGAAAAACTTACCCATTGCTATATAATTCAATCCTTCTGAACAATTAAAAACTATACATGGCATTCCTATTGCTTTTGCTAAATCTTTTACTGTCTCTGTTTTACCTGTACCTGCTGGTCCTTCAGGAGCTCCTCCATAATTCATATTTAATGCACTCAATAATGTTCTTTAACATCTATCTGTTAATTTTGTTATCACTAATCTTGTTAAATTTCCCAAATATTCAAAACCATATTTCAATACAGAATTAACCATTTTAACATTAACAACAAATTCTTATTCAATAATTTCATTATAAAATCTCATTTAAGATATCCAAATAAATTCATTTGCATCTTAAATGTTTTTCTTATAAAGAGAATCTACAATATCTTTTTGATGTACTTCAATTACAACCATTGCTTCTAATGTTGCAGTTTATAATTTATTTTGATCTGATCTAACTAATTAAACAGTATCTTAAAGTTCTTTATGTAAAATACTCAAATATAATTTTAGATTCATTTTTTATTATTATCTAATAGCTGTTTCTGTACTTCTAGTCCATTTAATTTAATTGGCTAATAAAATAGATTATGTTGGCCATTTAGTAATGAATTCTTACTTTGTACAATTCAAATCTTTTAAAGTTCTATTAGATATTCTTGATATTGAAACTTTCATTTGAGTCTCTAAATCTTATAACCATAATTCAACATTTCCTGATTTATCATCTTAAGCAACATTGATTATTTATTCTAATGGAACACATTCCTTTAATGATGAATAAAATCCAGTTATTAATGAATACTTTTCAAATTTTAATTCTTGGATGGATTCAAAACATTTATATATATGTCTTTGAACTTAAACAGGTTCTTTTGTTTATGCCAATATTTCAACTAATTCTTCATCTGATACAAAATAGAATCTAGGAAATAATACTCTTTTTGATTCTAAATAAATTGTTAAACTTTTTTAAATTTAATCAAGCATTAAAACATTATTACTAAATTCTACTTTCATTTTTTCAGAATCAATACAATCCCAAATCTTTCTATTTTAATTGAAGTTTTCCATACACATTTTAAATGATTAATCAACATTCTTAAAAAATTAAGCTTCTTTTGCTAATTTTCTCTTAATGTCTTCACTAGTAAAGATAGGATCTAAATATATCCAATGTTTCTAACATTTCATTCCATATTCTAATGTATCTTATATTAAGACTGTTTTATATTCTAATTAATTGGCTTTACTTAAAACCATTTTAACATGAGGTTATGCTTTTAAAATACCTAAAACATTAAGTTATTCATCTAATAACATTTAAACTTCTTCATAATTTTTAAATATATATGTATCTTTATATGGTACAATTTCAATAATAATGACTGATAATTTATCTTACATTTCATTAAGTCTTTTTTCAATATTCCATCCTTTCTCTGCTCTCTAAGAAACAGCTAAAACTTGTTCTTTTACATTTAATATTCCTCTAGTCATTAAAATCTATAGAGGGAAATCTTCTTTTGGATCAAAATTAGCTATATGACATTCACGAAATAAATCTCTCCAAAAAGATGGTTTTTTTTAAAATGCTTCTATTACAAGTGCTTCTATAATCCAAATAAATTCTTTTGATCTTTCCATTGCTGCTCTAAGACCTCTTAAAAATTATTATGCATATTCATTATTAACATCTTTGAAATATTGACTCATTTTAATTGTTTAATTAACATAATCATTTATTTTTATTTAAATATCTTAAGAATTCAATTTTTTAAATGATCCATATAACCATTAATCTTTTTATTATTCAAAATTGCTAGCTAATTCCCATAATTTTTAATATGGTTAAAATTCACTTATTAATAAATCTAATTAAGGATATGTAGAATTAGGTAAACCAAATAATCCTTCTCTTTAATGAAATGAATGTGCCATCTCTTTTGCATCATCAAAATATTAATTTAATTATTTTACAGTTGGTAATTTATGTTTAACCTCTTCATATGAATGAAATGTTTTAATCTCACTAAATAATCCAGAAATTCTATATATATGTTCTTCAAATTCATATTTTTCTGCTTTTAGCTTTTCCAAAAATTATTTCTCTTACTTTTCAATCATATTTTTATTCATTTATACTAATTCTGTAATATCCTAAGGCCAATATTTCAATTAAAAATAATCTATCATTAATTTAAAATCAAAAGGAACATAAAACATATTTAATACTTCAAGCATTTCACCTCTAAAAATATATAATTATTTATTTATTACATCTATAATATTTCAACTTTCTTTCTAGAAAACTCCATCTTTAATTCTCCCAACAACAATTTTAATTCTACTAATTTCTCTTCAGTATGAGGCAATGTTGAACTCTTAGATTATATTTCATCAAATTATTGTTTTATATTCACAGTATTATATTTTATTAAATCAATTATTTTCTACTATTTATATATATTTATACATTTGTTATCTAATTTGCTTAATCTGAAACTTTCTCCTTTAGAACCAATTTTAAATCATTTAAATTTACTGAAAACAATCCCAATCTACTACGAGTATTACATAAATTATCTATCTCTAAAAGTGCATTTCTTGATTGTTATAATCTTTAAACTATTTATTACTTATTTATTGATGTTATTGACTTTTCTTTTGGTTCTATTCCTAATATTTCAGCTATCTCTTTTGATTTTAAAGGAATCAAAAATTTCTTGAATTTCTAAAACTTTTCTACTAAATTATAACACTTTTAATATTCTATTGTTATTATCTATATTATTTCCTCTTCTAAGTCATGAATTTATTTTTAATCAAAGATATCCTTTAGTGTTTCTTTTAATAATAACAATGTCATTAATTCACTTCTAATTGTTTAAAATTTTTGTACAAAATTCAATAATTGCCTACAAGGTTTTAATAATTATTCTAAAATATCATTAAGAGAGTATTAGATATAAATTATTGGATCATTTTATTTAAGAATCTAAACATTTGAAAGTCGTATATCTTTTCTTGACATTTTTCCTCCTTTTGGTACTATTATTTTTACACTTAATTCTAAAAGGGTTGTTAATTCAATTTTAACTTCATTCTAACAATTATAAGTGAATTAAGTTAAAAATAATTTTAAACTATTATATTCTTTTTCTATTTGCTACTTCAAAAAATTCAAATAAATATAATTTATTTTGGTAAGTAATTTATCTAATTGGCCTCCTTTAAATTAATCTTACTATGTTGTTACAAAACTATGTTCTTTTGACAAACAATCTTATATATTAGAAAGCATGAATAATCTTTAATTTTTAAATTCGTTTAATTAAAGTGTTATTTATTAATCGATTAGATAAGTAAATTCCTCTAATTTTATAGGTAAATGTATCAATCGAAAATCATATGTGTATATTGTATAATTTTCAATTCTTTAAATCATATTTTACATAGCACAAATAGCTGACTTTTTATAGAAATGCATTTATTTTTTCACTAGTTTTTTATTTATTGAAAATAATTGATTTCGTTCTAAAGGAACAAATTTATATCTCTTATCGTAATTTCCAATAGCACATTTTTTCATTGCTACGGTATATTCACTTTCAATTTCATCTATGAGAGGAATAGTTAAAGTAGAATTCATAAATTTCTTAACTAACTTTTATCGTAACATTTAAGGAAATTGAGAAACTTCAGTAGTATGAACTGACATAATTTACTATAATTTTTTATGTTCAATCTTCTTCTTTAATTATCTCTATTAACTTTTTATATAATAATCTTTTTACTTGCAATGCTAAACTTTTTGATATATTTCTTAATCTTAGTTCACAAATTACAAAGATAGTCTATCAACTTTCTTAATTTGACCATCTGGATATTTTTAAACTATAAACTTATTTTATTGAACATCGAGATCCAATATGGTAACATCTTCCCAAAAATATTGACTATCTACTTATAATTATAAATACTTAGATTTTTAATGGAAAAACTGGCATTTTGCTTAGGGAGGTTCAATCTCTTTACAATGTTCTAACCATTCCAAATTGCTCTTTTCTTATTATTATTCTAAATATATTATATCTGTGCTAGATCTTCTACTAGTATCTAAATGTTTTTAAGAAGAACGCTAATTCATCAATATTTTTAATCCGTATATATTTTACTCTTCTTTAGAATTAACATATTTTTTTTTAGATAATGAACGTTAAGATTTCAAAATAAAAGATGCATTTATAGAATTAATGCTATAGTATTTGATTTTTAGTACCTCTGATCAGATTCAAATGAGTCAACTAAACTTTTAAATTCCATTTCTTATTCTCTAATTCTTGAAAGATCAAATTTTCGTATCTGAACAGGAGCTTTAACCGATAATCTTGGTTTTGCAGTTTTCTTTAGATCAAGTACTCTAATTTTTCTACTCATTTTATAATTAAAATTAATCAGACTTCTTAATTAAACTTTGTTTTGTGTAAATATTCACCAAAGATAGTAAAATTAATTTATAAGAATCTTGTAATCTAATAGAATGAGAAAAAAAGGAGAGCTTAAATAATCATTTTGATTAAAAATAGATTACATATAATAATAATATAGGTTTAATAAGAATGAATGATGTAATTAATTAATTAATGATTTATTTGCTATTTTGTTTATGTCTATTTCTGACATATTGTGCTGAAATTGATGTGAATACTTTTAGTAATTACATAGAAGTGAGTTAAGAGCATGTTCATATCGAATGGCTTCTTGATTTAGATCAATAATATATAAATGCAACAAGTCAATAAATTTTTAGAGTTAATAGTAATAAGCTTGAAAAGGTAATGAAATATAAATTATAAATAAGATTGATTTAGATATTTATCAATTGGATATAATTGTAGTATATTTACCTTCTTCTGGAAATATTTTAAAACATAATGTGATAAATTAAGGAGATCAATCACTTTTATAAGGAGATATACTATAAATAAAGTTAGATAGAGTATATACAAGAGGAGAATATATAAAATTAAATATAAGATATAATTTGGATTCAAAAGGGGCAAGAGCATTGGGATTTTTGAGAAAAGAGTAAACTTATAGTAAATAAGTTCCATATTTATTTTCTTAATGTGAAGATAATAATTGTAGATCAATGATTCCTTTATAAGATACTCCAAGTGTAAAAATATATTTTACAGCAAGTGTATTAGTAAAGGATGCAAGAATAAATGTCTTTATGACAGGTAATAAATTATAAGCCATGAAATTTAAACTATTAAATAATTATGATAATTTATAAGCATTAACATTATATCAATTTGAATTAGATATTAAGATTCCAGCATATTTGATAGGAATAATAGCAGGTGAAGTAGTTGAAAAATCAACAGGAAATTAAACATATGTGATAGCAGAGCCTCATTTTATTGATGATTATGCATAAGAGTTATCTGATTTACCAATATATATGAATGAGATGTAGAAATATATAGGACCATATATATGGGGAGATTATAAAATAGTTATATTACCAGCATCTTTTCCATTTGGAGGAATGGAACATCCTTTATTAACTTTTGCTAGTCCAACTATTATTGTTGGTGATAAAAGTGGTGTTAGTACAGCTATTCATGAAATTGCACATTCTTGGGTTGGTAATACAGTAACAGGAAGAAATTGGGCAAACTTTTGGATTAATGAAGGATTTTGTGTATTTCTAGAAAGAAAGATTTTATCTAGATTAAATGGATTAGATTCAGTTAAATTAGATGCTATTAATGGTAATTCAAGTGCATATACTTCTATGTAAACATTTGGTTTAGATAATTCATTTTCTAGTATGCATCCAAATACTAAGAATAGAAATCCTGATGAAGCAACTAGTCGTGTTCCTTATGAAAAAGGTTATTAATTATTAACTTATTTGGAAACTTTAATTAAAGAAGATCCATTTTAATCATTTTTAAGAGATTACATTCAACATTTTAAATTTTAAAGTATTGACGAAGATTAACTTTATTAATTTTTATTAAATTGGGTTAGAACAAATAAAGGAGATGATGCTTAGAAAATCATTACAGATATTTAAACTATATGGAAAGATTGGGTTTATAAACCTGGATTATCACCTATTTAAATTGATGTTTAAACTCCTTTATTTACTAATGCTAATAATTTAGCTAAAGCATGGATAGATGGATAAGGATAAGTTCCAGAATAAGCAGATGATTTTCTACAATATAAACCTAACCAAAAGAGTGTATTCCTATAATATTTAATTGATAATTCTGAACTTGTTTAAAAAACTGTTTTGGCAACCATGGATCAAAAATATGTATTGACTTTCTATAAAGATTAAAAAATTGCTTATAAATGGTATAGATTAGTTTTGTTAGTTGAATATAAAGAAGCACTTGAAGGAGTTCATGATTTTGTCTCTAAAGTTGGAGTATCAAGTTATTTAAAAGTATTATATGATTTATTGGGTTATCATTATAAGTAATTATATATTTATATATATCTAAGCGAAGAAGCCTATGCATGGTTTGATGAAAACAAAACCTTTTATCATCCTGTTGTTGTTTAAGCTATTGAAAAAATATTATAAAAATATCCCAAGAAAATTATTTTAGAGTGAACATATTTATACAAGGAATTAATGTTTTATTAAAATTTTCAGATAATTATATTAATTATAAATTCATTTTTTATTTTGAAATGTTGAATTTCTTAACTTTCTATTTTACACTCTAAAGGATGTACAAAATGAAGTCATACTTATAAACTTAATGGAAATATAAAAATGAGTAATCATTTTTTTTTTTATATCAATAGAACAACCAATAAACTCAAACTATACAATATAATTCAAATTAATTCATTAAAAACGTCTAAATTATTTGTATATAAAATCATTGGTGTATTAAATTCATTACTTAATATTTTTTGTTTTTATTATTTTAGATAAAAATGGGTTGCTCAATTTAAAAGAAAAAAAGAGAAAACTAAGCAAATATATAACAATAATAATAATCAGTTGCATAAGAAACATAATTACAATCATCTTCACCTAAAATTGAAAATTTGATAAATGAAACTCCTTCTCAAATCAATTTAAGAGCATAGAGACTAAAACATGTTAGAAATATAATTATGAGTGGATATTCCAATTCTCCAAAAAATAAAAATAGTCGAAAATAATCAGTTCAAATTTCATAGATATGAAAAAGATTGATTTTTTGATCACTTAAATCTTCTTTATGTGTATATAATAATTTATTTTCTTGTTTAGTTCTTTATTTTTTTAATCAGTTTAATCCATGATTAATAATTTACAATCCTCATTTATTCCTATAAAACAAATTCAAAAATAATAATTCATAATATGGATAGATATATCAGATAGGCGATATATAGACAATATTCATAAATTTATAAGTTGAACTATAAAATGACGACAATTAAAGTTAAATTAAAATCATAAATATAAAAAATATGAAGTTAAAAAAAATGAAAATGATAATAATTTTGTGTGATTTATTCATAAAAATATATAAAAGGTCAATTAAGCTATCATTTTCTACTAATTAATAATATTAAAACAATAAATGCCCTCTTTTTTTAAATATAAATTTATTTATTAAATAATGTATAAAGGGTATATTGAATAGATGTTCAAAGAATTCTAAGTTCAACCAATTTATTTGCCATATAAATTTTAAAAGAATGGAGGTGAAGGAAATATCGTAATAGATATTGATTTAGTAAAATAGGTAAGAAATTAATTTTGAATAAAGTTAGACTAATTCATAAAGAAGAACATGAACTAAAATAATGAAAATACTATCCAACAATTTATAAGGATGTTTTCAGTTCAATTAATGCTTCCATTGCATGTAGTTGATGAGCTATTAAATAACAATTAATAGAATACACAATTTTAATTTGAAGAAGAGGTGAGTGGCGATTCACCATAAAAATAATCAACAAATAGAATGAAATAATAGAATTAATTAGAAGATATGATATTTATATCTTAAATCTAATAAAAAAGTGATAAGAAACCTGAAGAATAAGTATTTGTAGATGAAATGAAAGATTTAAAATAGATTGTACCTATAGCAAATTTAAAATAATATCCATTAGGCAAGAATTCAATAACAATAAGAGCAAAACTATTCAATAAACCAATAATAGAGAAAGAATAATTGTAAATTATAGGAGATTATTTCCTCTAATTTAGAGATGATAGTGGAATGTGTCAGGTTTATTTTACGAAAAATAGAATTAAAGATAAGTTTTAATTTTATTATGAAAATCTAGAAGTTTAAAATATTTATGATGTAAGTGAAGTAGAAATACATTGTTATAAGTAAACTTATGAAATTAAAGTTTCTTCAGAAACATAATTTAAATTATATAATAAAGTACCTGTTTTAGAACAATTATAAAATGCATTAAAAAATAATATGAAAAATGGTGAAGAAATAGTTGTAGCAGCAATGGTAGCAGAAATAGGTGAATTAAGATAACAAAATAAAAAATTAATATTGTACACATTACCGATAGATAATAATACAGATTATTACAAAATACCATTAATTTTATGGGATTAACATAAATTATTGAATTTTAAAGTAGGAGAGGTATATGTTTTTGAAGGAGTCTAATTAAAAATGTATACTGATGTGATTGAATTAAAATCTTTAAGAACTAGATTTAAAGTATATAATGAAACTGATAATAAATATACTGATATTATAAAGAGTTTAAATGATTAAAAATAAAATTGGCTTTAAAATACAAATTAAATGATATAAATAGAGAAAGTAGTACAAACACCAGTTTTTATTAGTGATATTCATAAACCTAGTAATTGTAATTGTTTTAATACTGTTGTTAAAATATTAAAAGATAAACCAGCCATTTTCTAAATGAAGATATAAAAATGTGTTAGATAAATAATAGTAACTAGTGACAATAATAATAGTTAAATAATTGAATTAATAGGTGATAGATTATGTTAAAAGGTTTATATAGCAGAAGAAGCAATTATATTTATAAGTTATTTACAATTTGTTAATAATAAAATTGTTGCAAATGAATTTCATACATAAATTAGAGTTTTGCCTGATGATGATATTGATTATGCTGAATAAATACAATTATTAAAGAATCCTTTTACTAAACCTTTATCACTTTCTCCAAATGAATTGGAATTAGATAAATAAAATAATATATAATAAAAAAATTAAATAAAAATTAAAATCAATAATAATAAAGATTTAGAAAATTAGAAATAAATCTAAAGTGATAATTTAAAGAAAGGTTTAGAAAAAAATGAAATAATGAATGATATAGTTCCATTATTAGAAGGTAAAACTCATTAAGGTAGATTTAATGTATTGGTTTAAATAGATGAATTATTTGAAGTTAGATATCAAAAAGGAAATTAAAAATTACAAGATTTAAGAATATCAGATGAATCAGATTCTGGAAAAGTAACTTTATGGAATAATCAAATAGGAGATTATAAAATTGGTTAAACAATTAGAATTGATCAAATTGGTTATGATAATAGTAAACAAGAATTCAAAACAACATTTCATACAAAAGTAAGTACTAATGTACCAAGTAAAAACATACCTATTAAATAGAAAAGATAAAATCAAAAATAATTAATTATTGATGGCATTGAATATTAGAATTTTACTTATAATTAAGAGTTAAAATTAATTAATGATATAATAAAACTTTAATAAAATCTATTAGAAGAATTACCATATTAATATTGTAGAGCAATGATTACAGAAATATTGGTTGCTAGATTATCTTAATAATGTCCTTAATGCACTTATACTAAATTAACATAGATTAATGATGTTTATGAATGTTCAGGTTAAAATGGTATTAAACATATAGTTTCATTGCCTAAAATATTTTGTTATCTAAAATGCAAATTAACAGATTTTACTGCATCTATAGAGGTAGTTTTTGGAGATGAAATTTGTTAATAGTATATCCCTTAAAATATAATGAATGAATTATATAAAAATCAAATGACAGTAATTCCATATTTTGATTGCTTGATGTACAAAGAATTCACTTTTAAATTATGGCTTTAAAAATAAAAAGATTAAGAAAACAAGAAAATTAAGATAATGAAACTATTTTAAACAAATTACTTAAAAATTATAGATTCATATTTATGACATCTATAAAATTTTATCAAATTATCAATCATCATCATCATTTCTATTTTTTTTCAAATTTAATTTAACCATGGCTTTACCTACTGCTCCAATCCAGGCTTCTTTATCTTGATTATTGCTTGCTTACAAGAAAAATGTTTAATCAGGTGTATCAATTTTCTTAATGTATAAACTTGTTAATATTTACAAATGTATTTTCCTTATTTATTTCTTCTTAACAGCTTTTAATAGTGCTAACTGTTGATAATTAGATAATCTCTGTTGGATTTGAATACTATTTCTCAGCCTTAAATGAATATAAGGTAGTAGTTGTTAAAACAAACCATCGTCTAAGATATAAGTATAATAATACTTTCTCCATGATTTAAATACTCTAGACTCTTTTTCTAACCAACCTTCTTTCATTATGTTCTTTAGATCTTCTAACATTGGATTCTACATCTTTGAAATATATTTTATTTAAAAATTATCATTTAGAAATTTTCAAAATAATTTATATATATCAACTTCTTCTAGTTAATACTAATAATTATTATGGTCATATCAATAAATGTTTATGAATTTAAAGAAAATAGATAAATTAAGACAAATATGTTTAATAAAATAATTAATTTGTGCAATGTATCAATTAAACTAAATAATAGATATCTAATTGTTAAGTTGCCATTAAGAAAATACAATATATTATTGATAGTTAAAGTTAGAGCATTCAAAGAAGAAAATGGAATTAAATACATCCATATTAAAATTTAGTGCAAAATGCTGAAGATGCAAATTATGAATTTTAAATTTATTTCTTTTCAGAAGTTATTGTAGAAAGAAGGATTAAATTAATTTAATCTAATGATAGTAAATGGATGAATTAAGATGTTAATGTAAGAATTATTTTGAATTAAAAAAAAAGTAAATCATCAGCATATTGGACTAGATTAATCAAAGTAATGAATAAATTATATATATATAAGTATGTATATTTGATAGATTGATTGGACTAAATATATCAACAAGAATGGTGAGGCAGAATTAGAAATAAAAGGATTGGATGATTGAAATGCTAATAATTTATGGTTAAGATTAAAAAGATGAAGATGATGAAGAATAAGAATGATAATAAAATTAATAATAAGTAGAACAAGATTAATAAAAAATAAGAAAATGAATAATAATAGAAATAGTAGGAAACAAAAAAAATGATGAATTATTAATAAAGGAAATATTAATCGTTTTTATTTAATCAATGAATTAACTTATTTTGATTAGTATATTAGCTATAACTCTAGTATAAGCTGATCTTCCTGTTCATTGTCTAAAACATTAAATTGTTGGTAAATGGAATATGGAAGTTTCTGATGTTTAATTGAAAGGCATAGGTTCATTACCTTGTGGCCATCATGTTCCTGACACATAACATTCTTCATATAAAGCAGGTTGGGAAGATTTTCATCCTTCTAATTCTTTTGAACTGAACTTAGGAAACGATTATACAGTTACAGATAAAGACAAAAGATAAAGTGGATCATGGACTATGGTATATGATGAAGGATTTGAAGTTGAACACAATGGAATTAAATATTTTGCTTTTTCTAAGTATGAACCAAATGGAGTTGATTATAAATCATTATGTGGTGAAACTTTAATTGGTTGGTATAATAATTAAAAGAGTGGTGAAAAAGGATGTTATAGAGCAAAGAAAGCTGATGGAAATGTAGATGCAACAGATTCTTACAAATTAATAAGTGTAGTTCAACCAGAATTTATTTAAAAAAGTACAAGACATAGTGATAGAGTGAAATTAACAAAAGGTTTTACAAATCATAAAGAAGCTGTAGATAAATTAAATAGTATTCCAAAATTATGGAAAGCAAAAGCATATGATAATTTAGAAGGTAAAAGTTTGTTAGAATTGAATAAGATGGCAGGAAGAAGAAAACATTATTAAGGTAAGAATAAAAATAGAGGAACATCATTTAGTTAAATAAAAAGTAGTGATGTATCAGATCTTCCAAAATCATATAGTTTAGAAAGATATCTTGATCCTCCTAGATAATAGAAATAATGTGGATCATGTTATGCTATATCAACAATGGAAATGTTATCAGCTAGATTAAAAATGAAAGGTGAGAAAGTGACATTATCACCTTAATATTCAGTGGATTGTAATTATTATAATTAAGGTTGTGATGGTGGATATCCATTTTTAGTAGAGAAATTTGCATCTGAATAATATTTAGTTACTGAAGAATAATATCCTTATAAAGGTGATGTAGGTACATGTAAAAAGATTGATTATTCTTAATCATAAAAAGTTTATGGTGCTAAAAACTATAAATATATAGGAGGTGGTTATGGATTAAGTAATGAAAGAGATATAATGTTGGAATTATTTAATAATGGTCCAGTAATTATGAATTTTGAACCTGCATAAGATTTTATGTATTATTAAAGTGGTATATATCATTCAGTTGCTTAACATGATTGGTCAAATTCTGATCATCCAGAATGGGTATTAATATTAAATTTATTATAATTAGGAAAAAGTAGATCATTCAGTATTATGTTATGGATGGGGTGAAGAAAATGGAGTTAAATTTTGGTTATTATAAAATAGTTGGGGATAATAATGGGGAGAAAATGGAAATTTTAGGTATTTTATTTATTTAATTATTATTTTAAAGAATGAAAAGAGGAGTTGATGAATCTGCCATTGAAAGTATGGCTGAAGCAGCAGAACCTATCATTTATTCTAAATCATCTGGAGAATTTATTGAATTAAAATAATCTAATTTAAGAAAGTAATGACAATATATATTTAATAAATCAAATCATTTGTTTTTTTATTTTTTAAGGATTGAAAACAGAATGATTTCATCTCCTTTATTTTCATCTTTATATTTCATATCCAATCTTGGATTTATTTTTTATTAATCTATTGCATTTGTGCAATTTGATAATGTGTCTTTTATTTATACTACTTCTTCACTTGGATCAAATACGCATACTGTTATAAAATTATCAAACTGTATTCCATATCCAGTTCCTTATTTTATCAAACGTCCTTTTCCATCAAATCTATCATCTCTTATTGCTTTATATTTTATTTTCCTCTTCTCTACTATTATTGTTTCAAAATCTTCAGGTTCCTCAGGTATGTCTTCTGTATCATCTACCTGGGCTCTACTCAGTGTTAATCTTGGTCCCAAAGCAGAATTTCTCATATTTCTCAGTGAATAATTAATAGTTTATTATATTCATTCATCATCTTTTCTTCTTTGTAAGTGAAATTTGAAAAATTTTAATATTTCCCTATTTCATTTACAGGAGTATCTTGAATTGTACTTTTTCTAACTAAATTTTGATCAAAAAATTGAAAAGGCTTATCATTATACAGAGGTGCTTTTATTTCCCTCCTTTCTAATTTCACAAAATCTATATCTTTAAAAAAATCATGTTTTTAGATTTCTTTTCCATCACCAACTGATCCAAGTCTTTATTAAGGATTCTTTTTTAATAATTATTTCAGCAAATCCTGAGCTTCCTCTGATATATCATCTGGAATTTCAAATTCTTCTATTA